AAGTAAATAGTTTACCTAGAAAACGAGGTTGCTTTGTGCCTCAAAAGGAAATACAAGAAGTCACTGAAATGCAGGAGAAATTCATATCAAGAGCACACGAGGTAGATGAGGTCGTGAATATAAAAAAAAAGGTATATACTAAAACTTCAAGGACAATGATCTGGAGACAGAATAAAAAAAGAAAAGATCAGGAAAAAGATGCGAAGGAAAAGAAAAAGGATATATTACTCAATGCTAAAACATCAAGTGATGATAAAACATTGACTATTATGTCATTACCATCACAGTCATCCCAAGCGATCATACAAAATCCGACATCAATGTTATCATTATCACAGCCAGCCCAAGTGATCATACAGAGCCTGACATCACATATTGATACCTCGAGCCTATATAGACATTTAGAAGAAGTTAGTAGACAATACACAATAACAAAATCTTCGAAAGCTAGTGTACCTACCTATGATTATTTATGCCTTTTAAGTATAAGTAAATTCATACAATTGTTATTGAATGGAAAGGGTAAAATGAATGTTAGCAAGTAGATCGTGCAAGCCGTGTGGAATAAAGGTGAATATATGGCGAGATGTATTTGAAAATGGAGAGACCATTATTTACAAACGGGAGAGCTTCTTATCAATCAGCAGGGAAAGCATAAGAAATTAATGGCTTTGTCTGATGATAATGATTTCTCTATAAGCTGTCAATTGTGGTTACAACAGCTAAAACCGGAATCGCGTTCACCTGGAGTCCTTAAAATATATATTGAAAGAACATTATTTTCAATGTTAGAGCATTTTAAAAAGGATACCATTTCTGAATCAACTTGCCAAAACTATATACAAATGTGGGGGTATAAGTATGATGAAAGACAAAATGCATTTACTATAATGGGCATGAACAATCAGATGTAGTGATGTATAGAAAAGAATCACTAAGGAGAATGTTTACTTACAAGAGACACATAAAGGATTTTGATGGTGATATTGTAATAGAACCCAAGTTCAGGCCGGAATTTGTACAAGTGACACATAACGAATATTATTTTTATGCAAATGATGAGCAATGAAGAATATGGACTTTAGAGGATGAGGATATATTGCGCTCAAAGTATATAGGCTGATCCATTATAGTTTCAGCTTTTGTTTGTCCATGTCATGGACTATTACAATTATCTAATGATCAATTACGGACAAATTTATACATCAAACATAAGGAGACTCACGTCCTTCATTCTACACAAACAGATGGATATTGGAAGTCAAAACATATGCTGGACCAAGTATGTGTTTCTTTTTTTTATTGTTTTTTTGTCAGTCAACTGCTATTAATAACCCAATAATCTGACAATTATAAATTTAGCTTGTACATAGGGCTCTTCCGATATTTGAGGCATTGCATTCTGGGTGTATTGATGTTTTTTGCTTTGACCAGTTAACAAATTATAATGCATGGGCTGAAAATGCATTAATTGCAACAAGAATAAATTTGGGTCCCGGAGGAGTACAGCCTAAAATGCGTGATGGCTGGTACATAGATAAAAATAATAAGAGACAAATACAATCGATAGTATTTCCAGACAACCATTCTAAAGAGAAGCTAAAAGGACATCCAAAGGGTATAAGACAAGTATTAAAAGACCATAAACTTTGGCCAACAGGAGGGATTCGTTTGATATGTTACCAGTGTTCTGGAAACAATGAATCAAAAAGATTAGATTGTTATGCATGACGGATTATGTCATTACAACCTGATTTTCATGAACAACAATCGATACTGGAGGAAGCAGTTATTAAGGCTGGACATATATTTAAGCGATATCCAAAATTCCATTGTGAATGTAATTTTATAGAACGATATTGGGTTATGTGAAGTGAGATACAAGACGAACTTGTAGCTATAATTATAAAGACTTGCTAGAACAGATTCCAAATGTTCTTGTTGATATTTCTATAATTACTATTCGTAATTTTGTATGCAAATCGTGGAGATACATGGATGCCTACAACAAAGGATTGGAGGATAGAGCCACTGAATGGGCCATTAAAAAATACAAGTCACATCATTGTTTGCCAGAAAAAATTGAGGGGAAAATGGAATAATAAATTAGAAACAAAATATATTTATATTTTTAAATAATGATTAGCTTTTTTTAATTCTTCTTAAGTTTATTCAATTTATAAAATTTAAATATTAAATATTATGCATCATATATTTCACTATACTTCCTTCCATTTTGATAAAAATGTGTGACTTTACCATTACTGTATCAGATTATCATATTACAATACTATTGGTCAATCATAAAACACATGATAAATGATCATCATATAGAAAATTGAAACATTTTACTTAAATCATATAAATTATACAAAATAATCATATTTTTTATTTTTAAACTAAAAATAACTTAATTTTCAAGAGGCTATATTTTATTTTTTTTAGAGCTTTTTTTTTGCTAATGATAATTAATATTACAACTATATATATAGTGTGACAAGATTATAGTTCTTGGCAAGATGTTTGATTTGATCAAGGTAAGTAATTTCTCTTTATTAATTTTCTTTAGTTATCATTATCTATGCCCCTTTTTTCTCTGAAATAAATGCTAATATTTTATACTTTTTTTATAGAGAAACTAAAAGAACAATTTAAAAACAAAACAAAAGGTAAGAGAATTTCTATTACTTTCTGGTGCTATTATCTAATCTAACACTAATTACATCATTATTATATCTTTCTTAGCACTGATTTCAGATTTATTTTTATCTTTATTTTCTTCTCGTGATCCCAGGTCAATTGTCAGTCACGTGACTTAATTGCATTACACTTTTTTTTATTCTCCCTCTCACAATAGTTATGTCATTGATTATTATTATATATAATAATACAATTCCTAATTAAATATAATTGAAAAAATTTTTGACCTGTGGATCTATAGTGCAATGGTTAGCACTCCACAGGTCAGATCACAAGATACCGGTTCAATCCCAGGTGAAGGCGATTGAACAGTTCCATATAGTATCTGGCACCATAACCTAACATGTGCTGTTTCTCATGCAAAGCCATTTCACACGCTGATCCAGCGAGCGTTGAGATTGTGTTCTCTAGTTAAGGTGCCGTGGTGCGTCGATCGTCCGGTTGGTGTTATGATGATCGTACTATGTTTGGTGCTTTCCCGGTTCCCACAGGTCACTTCCCTCTCCTATAGTCCACGAGACTATAAAAAGAATCCTTC